GGCACCTTCTGGCCCTGGTGGCCTCGTTGTGCTCCTTGGGGGCCATGGCCACCACCGTGGGGTCACCGGCACCTTCTGGCCCTGGTGGCCTCGTTGGGGGCCGTGGCCACCACCGTGGTGTCACCGGCACCTTCTGGCCCTGGTGGCCTCGTTGGGCTCCTTGGGGGCCGTGGCCACCACCGTGGTGTCACCGGCACCTTCTGGCCCTGGTGGCCTCGTTGGGCTCCTTGGGGGCCGTGGCCACCACCGTGGTGTCACCGGCACCTTCTGGCCCTGGTGGCCTCGTTGGGCTCCTTGGGGGCCGTGGCCACCACCGTGGTGTCACCGGCACCTTCTGGCCCTGGTGGCCTCGTTGGGCTCCTTGGGGGCCGTGGCCACCACCGTGGTGTCACCGGCACCTTCTGGCCCTGGTGGCCTCGTTGGGCTCCTTGGGGGCCGTGGCCACCACCGTGGTGTCACCGGCACCTTCTGGCCCTGGTGGCCTCGTTGGGCTCCTTGGGGGCCGTGGCCACCACCGTGGTGTCACCTGGGGGGCCGTGGCCACCACCGTGGTGTCACCGGCACCTTCTGGCCCTGGTGGCCTCGTTGGGCTCCTTGGGGGCCGTGGCCACCACCGTGGTGTCACCGGCACCTTCTGGCCCTGGTGGCCTCGTTGGGCTCCTTGGGGGCCGTGGCCACCACCATGGTGTCACCGGCACCTTCTGGCCCAACAGAGAGTTGGTTGGCCCTGGTGGCCTCGTGGGGCTCCTTGGGGGCCGTGGCGTCACCGGCACCTTCTGGCCCAACAGAGAGTCGACTGGCCCCGGTGGCCTCGTTGGGCTCCTTGGGGGCCATGGCCCCCACTGTGGGGTCACCGGCACCTTCTGGCCCAACAGAGAGTCGGTTGGCCCTGGTGGCCTCGTTGGGCTCCTTGGGGGCCGTGACAGCGGTGGGTTTGGTGGCCGCCGGGGGTTACTACCTGAAGACCACGGCGTGTAAGAAGGGGGAGTACAACGTGCGCGACGCCGAAGGGTCTTCCGAAGCCACCTGTCTCCACCGGCACCGCCACCCCGACGTCTTCGGCATCCAGCTCACCCAGCCCTGAACTGGGAAGGGGCCACCCTTGTCCCTCAAACCCAACTGGGATGGAGGTTTTGGGGAATCCTCTCTTCCATCCCTCAAACCCAACTGGAACGGAG